ATGTGATTTGCTACATGAAAGCTAGATTACTCATACGCCCTGAGTGCCGGTCGGAAAGAATACTAGAAATGGGCGGTAAAGTGCTCAAATTAGCAGTGTGCTTGGGCAAGCAAGCAAAGTGGGCGGACTGGGGTGTGATTAAGTTGCTTTATCGTTCTATTAATCATACGCCATGCCGGCCATTCAACAGTTTCGCACTTGTCATTCTGAATTATGCTTTAAGCAGCGCGACGGGGATTAAACGTGTTCATTATTCAGCAAGTGCACTCCCTTAAGAGGAAAGAAAAGTAACCCTCGGAAAAATGCAGAGTTCCCATCGGGCGGGAAAACTTTTCATCGATTGAAAGCGAACTTGCAAATTATCGAGAACTTTGCACCAGCAAAAAATTGAATAATTATGCAGAAGCCTTCAAGATGCAAGGGAAAAGTTGCCACTTTCGCCCTCTTGCTGTAACCGGCTGTCTGTAAATATTTGAATAAGAATCTTGTGGCAGCCACATGAACATCGGCATTATCAGGGTGAAGGGCGGTTCAAGGGAGATTCCTTCGGCACTGGCATAAATATTTAGGATCCAACATCCTGGCACACGTGCATGTGATGATGAGAAACCAACTAGGGCACCGGAAAATTCGCACACGAGCTGCCAAATTACACTTTACGCGGATATTACGCATACGACGTGGTGTCAGCGCTTTAAGTTTCACAAATTTGCTGGATAAGTACGTGCGAGAAAAACCATCTCCACTGAGCATCCTAATTTCTTGTATTCCGAATTTATTCTTATTGAATTAATCCTTCAACTGTTGCTGCTTCGTTCCTGCTGCCACTTTCATTTGGCTCTCATGGCAAATTAAGTAGCAGCCATTTACCAAAACCAAGCATGCAATCCGCGCAGCCAAATTGAGAGGGGCGTGCGGGGTGTCGGGGGCGTGGCACACACGAGGGGCGTTGGGTGGGCGTGATAATGAGCTGCAGTTTGTTTTGAGTCATGCGGTGGGCGGGGCGAAAAGGAAATTTGCCTCGACTATCCGAAGTTAACGAAGCCACATTTCATCTGGCTCTGTCGCAATGAAATCAGAGTGGCATTATATCCATATTATTCAGCTTTACGTTAAGTCAAGTGGGAGAATTCAGAATCCTATATGAAAGCGCTAGCGCTTTGTTGGCTATTATTAATTTACTTACCGCAACAAAGCTATGGTATCCTGGATTTGGCAGGAAATCAAAAGATCTTCTTTCTCAGCTTTGGTACTTTATGTAATTTAATACCTTAGTATGTCTATAATAAAGAAACAAAATTAGAAATAAGAGCTTTTAGAAAACTAGTTACTAATGTTATTCATATTGAAGTTGTTTAATTTACCAATGACATTTGCCTTATTTATCAACACATTTCATATATGAAGTGCATACAATATGTCACAATGGATTATATTTATGGGCCATTACGATCCTGCTGCAATTACAAATGTAAAATCAATCCGCAAACTGAAAACGAGAAGGAATGAAAAAGGAAAAGGGCTGGGAAAAGAATGCGAGATGGGAAAGGCATTTCCCAGACCCTGCCAATAGCCTGCAGCAGTCGGAGAAAACCAAATGGCACGTCAGTGCCAAAACCACAGAAAAAAGAACGTTGTGAAAAGGGAAGGCAGTGAAATGCAACAGAACCGAACAGGGAAATTCCAGCAAAAGTAGAGGGAAAGCGAAAGGAAAATCAAGGGAGCCAACAAGGGAAATGGATCAATGTCGAATGTCTGGGAAGTTGATGGTAATTTGAGAGGAGCTTATGCTTCCATTTGTAATTGTGATTGAGATTCGGAGAATTCGAAACGAACGGAAGCTGCTTAAGGGATATACATGATTAAATTAGAACGTTAGTTTCGGAGTCTGGTTGAACTAAGATAATTACCAAATCGTAATAAAAAAGGTTATATTTGTAGCATATAAAATATTTGAGTTGATTATTCAGTATTTAATACATCATTTAACAGTGGAGGTAAACCTCTAAAATCTTTAACAGTAGTAGTCGACTGTAGTTTGCAGGAAATATCAAGTTGCCAACATTTCCCGAACCAGTCATTACCATGTCGTAATTAACACATTTTACTATTTTTATTTCCAACTGAATGTAACGGAACAATGGCCTGATAATTCGGTTCACTTTTGCACAAAGCCCCCATCGCAGCCCGTATTTACTTACTGCTTTCCCTGTCGATATTTCCCTGTGGTACGTTTAATGCCCAATGAATTCGGTACAAACTGCACCCAGCGACGAACTGTGTGTATATATTACAGACCCAAATCCAGTCGCAAATGGCAACATATTTGCAGACACCACTTGCAACATTTACGATCGACTAAAGCACTCACTCAATCATCGCTCGGGGACAAAAACAAATACAAGCCACTACCGAAAATACGACAAAATGTTCCGCGGCAAGGGGGAAATCCCGCAAAAGGGAAGGTGGGAAAGTCGGAAAATGTAAGGGTGAAAGCCATCGATTGCGTGCAGCGTTAAATGTCAGCCCGCAGCCAATTGCAGATGTCAACACATGCACAAAAAAAAAACCGGAGAAAAACACACGCACACAATTTGCGCCTAAAAGATGGCAGACATTTTCGCGACTGAGTGAATGAGTGAAAATGTTTTGATTTATGTCCGTTTTTCCGGCTGTTCATTGCGTGTCGAACGCGTTCAATTACGAAATGCCAGCGAACTGTCCGGCGAATTCGTTTCAATTTTACAGAACATCGCCAGCCATTAGATTCATTGTTCTGCCTGTCAATCGCATTAATTTATAATTATCACCCATACAGGCACATGCCCACAATGGCCAACTAATTAAGCAAAGCAATCATCCTAAGCAGCGACTAAGTCGGCTCACGAGCCTCGTACTCCCACTTGAAACTTTAATTAGGGGCGTGGCACAGCCACAATCTGTCTAATCCCATCGAGAGTCCAAGGTAATTTTCCCAGATATCACGATTTGCCTATTACTCATCCCCCAAAGTAAGAGCTCGACTTTTCCTAGCTGTTGGCACTTTGAATTAATTAGGCCGAATCTGATTTTAGTGATTGTGTTTCTTTTTGTCCTTTTGATTGCAAGATGTTTAATGCAATGTAAACAGAAATAAATAAAGCTTTAGGGCGGCTGCCGCACAATCTGCTTCTCTTTCGCACCGCCCATTGTCTCCCTCCCACACTATGTTATATAATACGCTTTCCCGATGCTGATAAGACGGCGGGCAGAATACAAAAGAATCGGGGGAGATAGAATTAGTGATTCTTTTGGTAAAAAACGAATCATAGGATGCTCTTCCTTTGAACAATCAGTCTCTTGATTAATGGAATTAATTTGGGTATTTTATTTATGGCATATTTTAAATTAGGCCTGAATGAGATATTTCTTTGATAATGTATTCTTGAATTATAATTTAGAAATAATTTGTTCTAGTCTAATATATCACAAATTTAAAAATCTCTGTTATATACCCCTATATAGGGTAACAAAAACAAAGCCAGACTACAGAAGGAATATTGGCAGACACATCCAAGGAGATTGTATTGAGCCTGCACAAAAAGTTCTTCATCGCAATGGAGAAAGCGTTCCCGAAACAAAAGCTTGCCGAAATCCGTCCAAAGAAATTGCATGCAACTTGGCGAAAATCAAAAACTTCTTCCACTCCTGAAGTATTTGACAATAAATTAAAAACCACCGAAGGAAAATCGCTCTTCAGAACCACTTCAACTAAAGACCCGATTTTTGTTTGCTCCTTTCCAAATATTTACTCTCTTTTTTGGAGGAAACGTATGTGTGTATGTGTGTGTGTGTGAGCTGGGGCACGATAAATTTTGAAAATTTATTTGAGGCGGCCTGTGGCTGCATTTGAAGTGGTTACCATTACCAATGCCGTGATGATTCCCGAGGCTGCCTTTGGTATACATATTTGCATGGCAAATTTTGGAATTTCTTTTTTTGCTTTTACATTTTATTCGGTTAATGTATTATTCATGCGACCCCACAAAATCCCATTAACAAATTTACACATTTTCAATATTGAAAATGTGCTTTAGTTTATGTATAATAAAAACAAACCAAGCAATGAAAAAAATAAATCTGTGAAGCGGAGGAATACTTTCAATTAGGCTATGTAAACAAAGATATTTGGGGGAAAAAACTAAACTGGTTCACATGCTTGGGGCACTTATTTAAAATCTATTTTTGAGTTTTTTGTGGCTGCTGTTCTATGCGCGCATTTATTTGGTATTTAATTATTTTAATTGAACAAAATACACAAACACATGGTTTCCTTTGTTTTCGATTTTTCCCTGTAAGCCTAAAGACCCTGGAAAAGCTGCTTAGCCTTCGTCAGTTGAGTGATAAGAGGCGCATTAGTAAGGAAAATTTATTACCAACTTTCGTGAGTCGAGTTGCTAATGCTGAGATTTCACAGAGATTTCTAATGGGATTGCTGTCGCGGTTTTACTTGTTGTTCTTCTTGGATTACAACATGTAAAATTTAGGAGGCAAAGTTTAAGATTCACATACGTGGGAGTCGAGTTGAAGAATGCCTACAAAAGTGTAACTTTATTCTTGCCTACACAGATAAAAAATAAACAATATTTTAAACACTTATACATCTAGAAAAAGACCAAGCTAAATCATTCTCGTAAGTGTTACTTTAATATGGTCCTCTCTCAACAAAAACGCTTTAAAAACAACACCGCATTTTCATCAAACAACCCCAGTCAGCTTTAAATTTGTTCACCTGAATAAAGTCGTCGCTGGCTTAACTTCACCTTATGTTTTACCTTTCAAATTAGGCTGAAAATGTCTGTGAGCTGCCACTCGGGACCGAGTAGCAATTGCATAATGGACCGAGTTCTGTCCCTTTGATATGACCCAAAGATTAGAAAGCAACACACACAATGGCGGACATGGGGCGTATGATTAATAAACACTTTTAGTTTACATTTCGGTCAGAAAGGAACCTTTTCCAGAGTCATAACAATTAACTTTAATTGTAGTCCTCACAAAACATACATGTGTATAATAGAACACGAAGAAAAGGCAGAAAGTAAAAAGTAAAAGATGAATAATGAATGAGCCGCACGCGAGCGGAGAACCAGGTGGACTGAAGGGGGGACTGAGGAAAAGCTCGGCGGCCATGCATGAGTAACACTTGACATTGCCTGGGCGAGGAAAATGGGAAGTGGAAAAGGAAAACCCCCACCCACACACATCCAGACATCCACACACGCACTACGCCCGAAGGGCAGCCGAAGGAAGCTCGTTTCTAGTGAATTATAATATGGCATGCAGATAAAACATTGGAAGTCAAAAGGCCCTGGGGGAACTACAATTAAGCCCAGCGCCGCCCGGCCACCCACTAATGAGGGTGAAAACATCGCCGTTTCAACATTGCCGGAAATCATTTCATATGTGTATTTATAATGCTTTGTAGATAACTGCAAGCGCTGGCGAAAAGTTTACTTGGAAATCAGCAGTATCTCGAGAACAGAGCCAAAATTCTGATTTAACCGTGAAAAGAATTTCGGACCGGGCCAAAACCACAGGCCAGCAAAAAGCACGGGAGAACGCTGGCCAAAAAGAAAAACAATTCAACAGTTTGTTGCCAGCAACATGTTGCAAGCGGGGCAGCAACACGGGCGCCTACGCTCGATTTGGCCCCGGGTAAACTTCGCTCTCGCTCTCCTACGCTCTCGCCGTGTTGAGTTTGCCACTTTGATAAAAGCAAAAGACCTGGCCATAATCGAAACAGTCTGCAAAGGATTCTAGGCGCTAACGGTTCTCCAAAGAAATCTCCCGTCAAGAGTTTTACCAACGGCCAACGTCGCGTGCGTTTGAAACAAGTTTATATATCGAAATTGACAAAAGCGGTTAAGCAAAGTGTATTAACACAAATTCCAACAGCCAGCAGCAGTTAAAAAGTAAATATCTTAAACCACAAAATTACTGCATTTTAACACACTACAAATTAAAGAAACAATAACTTTAAGTCTTTCCTTATTTTCAAAAATTTGATTTACAAGACAAACTTGTTTTTTAACATCTTTGAATTTTAACTTGTTTAAGTTACATAAATGGTGTGTGTGCTTCATATTTAAATTGTGAATTTTGTAACCCTACTCAAAAAATGTTTTTATCAAGCGAAAATTTTAAATTAAGGACCTTTATTGATATAGTCCCGGAAATATTCGTACAGTCAAACAGAATAATTTGGTCGTTTACAATTCATAAGCGACGGCATTTTTTCAACGATTCACTTTTATGAGCTGTTTAATATTTATAAACTGCAATTTAAAAACCAGACCCTTTTCGACCCGACATCCAATCAAAATATTTAAATTTCATAATATATGCTAAAAGCCTTTTAAATCTGGCCTGAACTAGCCTAAGCCGACAAAATCCAGTCACGACAAATCGGTACTGATTTTGGTTCTAGGGGAAAAGCCCAATTTGCAATGGCTTTCCAAAGAGGTGGAAAATCGGTTCAACGTGCTCGCCGCAAAAAAGAGCAACAGTGAAAAATTTTGACATTTACTTTCCACCCGCCGGCAGCTTAAAGGGTGTCAGATAGCTGAATTTTTTTCCAGGAAACAAGGGTAAACCTTTTTGTGATAATTTTCGAAAGGGTCCGCATTCAATTAAGAGAAGAGGACGGCCCTCATTGGTATGCCGAGCGGGAGCCGCAGAAGTTGTCACTAAAATGCCGTCGCCGCCATCGTTTGCGTCCTTGACTTTGCCTATTCATACGCAAAATTAAGCACGAAGGGGCAAATAATGAGCGGGGAATGGCTGGGAATGCTATGGTTATGGGCACTACATTGTGGCCACGGCATGTGGGGCTGCGTGCCAACATTTACGAGTCCCTCTAATTTATGCTCATTCATAAATCTCCCTCTGAGGAAATCTCTTGCATTCGCCGTCGCCACAGTCGCCCCAATGTATGCAACACAATATAATAAAGCAAATTGAAAATTATGATAAAATCAAGGCCGCGAACGCCACACCGCAGTACCCATTTCCCTTAAAAAGATCTCTAAAAAAAATAGAAATATAATTCATGAGAAAACACATGAAAATTTATTTATATTTTACAAATTACGGAAACCCAATGTTACCAATAATGTAATGTGAGCATACGTTTTCGTCTTAAGAAATTGTTTTCAAACCAGAATTATGAAAATTTGGCATATAGAACCTTGTGAAAGCGTGTGCAACCTTTTATGTTTTCGGCAGGAGAGGAAAGGTAGCTGTCTAAAATAATTGAGAAATTTCTAAAAATATTGCGACCCTTTGCTGCGTTCCCTTGAAAATATGGCTACATAGCGCACTCTGCCAAGTGCTAAATTGGCTAATTAGGCGGAATACCAATTCTAACCAGCCCGAACCAAACTGTCCCCCATTCAATCAAGCTGCCTGATTGCTAATTACATTCTTTGTTTAATGCGAGATTAACCAAACAATTGCAGGTTCAAATCATTAAAATAACAAATTTCCCATCTTGTATTTTTCTAAGGAGCTTATGTTTTTGTTCTTGCTTTTCTCGATTTTGATTTGAACGGAACGCATTGTGCGCGCTCTCGGGCAGCGAAAATAAATAGGAATATCAAAACCAGAGAATTATCAAAATAAATACGTTTGTCAGGCAAGAATGAAGGCCTTGTTTGCATTTAGCAATTTAATGGCATTGGGAAGGAAGTTGGATTTCGGTTATAAATAGCCGGCTATTCGCAAAAGGATGGGTGATTGGTGATTAAGCGGAAGACAAACACTGGCCAAATATGGAGACGTCATTTGACAGACGCAGAGATGAGCAATGATCGCCATTAATTTGAATTAATTTCGCACTATTCAGCGGCACCAAGATTGATGGGTTATTTGCAATTTAAATTGTGTGGGCTTCGGAATACAAAATGAGAGCAATGATGTAATTTTTCCCTTGCCAACATAAATATAGGCTCTGTGAATTTTCAGTTACTTGAGAAAAACTAAGTTTCCGGTAATTATTTTTCTGCAGCAAAAAAATACGTTTTGCTCAATATTAATTCTGGAATGTTTGGATTTAAAATTGCGCGGTTTGAAGAATGCTTCCCTGGAATTAAGAATTCCTAAAAACAAAACAATTATTTATGGTTTTGTTTTATTTTTCATGAATAATTATTTTGTTTTATTTTTTTGTTTATTGAGATTCATTCATACAACTTTTTCTTTGTTAAAACCAACCCTTTCTACCTATTTTTCTTTCCGAACCCAAACGTAAAATTTCCGACAGCTAAGTGCTATTAATTTCAGCACTTAAATTTCAGGACACAAGGTTCCTTCAAAAGTATCCCGCCAAAAGTGGCACTGCGTAGTTTCGCCCGCAGGTATTGGCCGTAATTATCTTTGAACAATGTCAAAAGCCGAAAGTGCCATTAAAAAGCATTCGCGCCAAGCAGTAATAATTATTCTAATTACGAGGCGTTTTTGTGGAAAAGTTCTTGCGGTGCCTGAAAACCCCGCAGGGCCTGTCAAATATGTATTTTGTCCGAGCAAACAGAGCCAGAAGTGCTGGAGATTCAACAGCAATCAGCATAATTTTCCTCTTGTTGTTTTTCACATTTTTCGTATTGACTCGAACCCGAAATCTTTCCACACGCCGACTTCCAGCTGGTTAATTACAGCTCTTTGGCCCCAAGCCCATTATTATTTATTATTATTATTATTATTTCTTGATTATTATTTACGCACAAGGAGCGTAAAAAGTGGCTTCTATTAGCTATGTAAATATTTACATCATCACTTGAGGTTTTTCGCAGCAATTATGCGTTGCGTCACCAAACTAAATAAACATTAAAGAAGTCTTTAAAAGGCGGTGAAGTAAATATTCAAGTGTGGAAAATGTGTACTCTACACATGTATGCACATGAATCCACGTATACAAAAGCCGTCTGCATTTATTGTGATCTTTTTATGGTTTTGCTTTTTCCTGAATTCCATGAAAAACAAAAGAAAACACTAAAGAAAAACACATGACGCAGGTTTTTTGCCGAATTTCAGACTGTTTGTCCGGTTCTCATTTCCAGGCGATTTCTTTATGGAATATTTATTATAACAGGTTATAAAAATGCAATTGGCTTTCTTCCTCACAAATGTGATATAGATGGCCAGGACCCATACTATTTTGTTATTTATAGCCTTTGATTTTTGAACCTTTTCTGACCCTCGCAACTGTCATGTCCTGACTCCTCCGGTGACAAATTCCAAATTGAGTGACAGGCAGATCCATTACGGCGTGCCTTTACCCCGAAATGTAAAACAAAACCGGTGTTCCGGTGATTTGATTATTATTTTGTGTATCACATAAATGAAGAGTTATCCAACCTTTTTATATTGCTCATACGCAGTGTGTACATTCGTGACTTGCTTCAAATGTCACACTCTATACATGTACATTGTAGCCACCATTATTAATGTATCCCCCTCCTTTGATTGCTTTTAAAACTCGATGGATCAAAGTCTAAAAGTGGTTTGCATGCGAAAGAATCGAAAGCTTTAACTCACAGCTGACGGGGACTAATAACAATCCATAAGAATGACCACATGGGGAGTTTTCATGGCACGACATCGCATTCCCTCCGCCCACTGGGAATTTAATTAAAACTGTCTAAAGCGCAGCGGTTGGCAGTCGCCAGACAAACAAATAAGCGTGTCGTCATGCAAAAAACCATTGTTCTTTAGATTTATTCATGGTAGAGTGTTTTCCAATATAAATTCAACGGATCCTAATGGTTAACCAGAGTTGGCAAGACTAATTACCGCTCCGCAGAGACCAATAAAATGTAATTAAAATCGGGCAGCAAAAAATGGTCAGAATAGGTGAGAAAAAAACCACCTCAACTAGCTCAAAAGGAAGCAACTGGAAATAGTTTCCCTCTGGCCCCGCGAATTTTCACACATTTTCTTTCGCACGCAGCGTTGGTTGGGGGAAAAAGAAAAACACAAATGAAAAATAAAATACACAAAGGCTTTCGAGCAGCAGGCACATCAGCAACACATCGTAAACAACTCTTGACCAGCTCGGCATGACAAAACCTCGCTCTTTCCACCAGAAAAAATCGAGCAAATTCGGAAACTGAAACAGATGCTATATCTTGTAATTGAGAAAATTGCTTCTTCAACACGGGCATACAAATTAGGCGGATTATCGACAGTAAATTACAAAGGAATTCTGCACGGGGTTCTATTAATTCCATAATTGTTTACAAAGTGCCCGATCCGGAGGAAGAGGCATCTCCGATGCAGAGTTCATAAATCAACATCAGAGGCGTCCTACTAAATCGCTCGCCGCTGCAGAGGAAGGAAAAATAAATAAAGCGATTTATTAAAATCAAAAGCCATAAACCATTCAATTAAGCGAGTTGCCGGGCATCGGGGGAACAGCTTAGCATGTGAATTATAATTATGCCCATTGAAATGACCACTTTTGGGCAATTAGGATTTGTTTTGCACCCCATAAATTGGGAAATGCGGACCGTAAATCAGCGACAAGTTGCCTGTCTTAATTTGCACTATAAATGGAAGATTTTCATCTTGAGCTCTCCCCATAATATCCATCGTACCTTGGCACGCAATCATCTGGTCTGCGACGACCTAGCAAATTGGCATTTAAATTTTTAACTGCATTTTTATGATGCTTCCGCAACCCTCTTCCTGCCGATTTCTTCGGGCCAAATAAAATAAACCGTAATGCAATAAATTAAGCTGTTTTTCCCGTCAGTCCTTTTGCAAATTGTCTGTTGGACTTTGGGCCATAAATTAAACCTTTGCCAGCCCCATCTTTTGTGTCCTGCCTAAGCCGTTTGGGATAAATCTCCGGCTTTTGTGGACGGACACGCAAATCAATGGTGTTCCAGCAGTTTAATAACCAGCTCATGGGATTAAC